TGTGTGTGTGTGTGTGTGACACTGGGGCGGAGGGGTGTACACACACACACACACACACACACACAATCACCCATGGCCTTTAAGTGGATTCTGACACGTAATGACCCTTTCTTTTTCTGGTTTCTGAAGCTGTAAATCTTGGCCAGCTAGGCTGGCTTCCCTTTGTCTCACAGAGTGCCTGGTGTTTTTAAACCACAGAATTTTCCATTAGTGTCCAACACTTCAGCATCTAGTGGGGGGTTTTGTTTGTTTTTTAGAGAATTTCATTTATCTTTAGGTTTATACATAACTTTTTGTCCAGCTGTGCTTTAAATACTTATGCCAAGAGCAAGTCCTCTCTTTCTATCTCAGAATGAGTTTGGTGCTGATAAAAGAATGCTGCTACAAACTTGTCTGCTTGAAGTAAATTTCTTTTTTTATTTACTCTTAGGAATTAGAAGCTTATGTAGATGATATAGATATGGACAATGATTTCCAAAAGGATGATTTTTATTGCTTGTCTCAAGAAGACAGAGAGAGACAGAAGCGTGAGCATGAAGAATCTAAGAGGGTGCTCCAGGAATTAAAATCTGTGCTGGGATTCAAAGCATCAGAAACAGAAAGACAGAAATGGAAGCAGCTTTTATTTAGTGATCATGGTAAGCATTGACTTCAGAGTAAAAGGTAGTTTCAATTTGGGGAATTCTCTTTTTCTATAAGAACCATAGTTCTTATTTTTAGGTATAAAATTCTTAAGGCTTTCATTTTTGGTCTTCGTTAGTAAATACACTGTCTTTGTTTTTAGATGCAAAATCAATTTGAATATTAACAAAGTAGGTGTATTGTCATATTGGAAATATGAAATATTTTTATCACCTATTTCAGTTTTTACTCTGTTTTGAAATGCGTAGTAAGTTGAGCAATTTGTATTTTAAATGCAATTGTTATTTTCAGAATTTTAGATTCTGAACCTTTTCCTCTTTATGTTACTATATTATTAAAAAGCCTTAGTGAAACAACAAATTTGTAATGCATGTTTACTATTAAAAAAAAATCAATAAAAATCTGGCCATGTATAGCCACATCATTACGGAATTAGAGCAACCGAGTGGATGAAGAGTGAAGGAGCTTCTGTGTACATGCTCTGTACTCTGAATTGAGTAAGACTGTAATTACTACTGATGCCATACATTCACCTTAAACCCATTTATGTTTATTCATGTTTCTCACCCTTTCTTTTGCATCTAACTTCATTAGAGATTGGGAGGAGGAGGTAGAAGGTTAAGGTATACAAAAGCTCAATACTTGATTATATCAGCCTCCTTAAGAAATGAATGCTTGTTGGTTTCTAACATGATGTAGTGAACATCTCTATTTTAGAATATCTGCAGGGATCCTCAGTATCACAGTCTTTTTACACACACCTCTCTTCTTTTACTCTTTGGATTACCTATACTTCTGGAAAGCTCATTAGAGCTCTCCTTTTCTTTTAGGAAACCCACCGGCCTTTTAGGAAGATAATTTTTTTTTCTTGTCTAGATCTTCATTTCTTGATTTTTGTCCCACTCTTTCTTCCATTTCCCCCTTCTAGCCTAGGTTCTTATTAGATCATACTCAGAATTTATAATCGCTTTCTGGCTGGTTTCTGGTTTTAGGACCTTTTTTTCTTCTAACCTATCTTGCCCTCTTTCTGATCTTTCACAAATACTACACTGATAATAGCTCCATCTTAAAAGCCTACAATCAATCATTCTTTCTCTCAAATGTAAAACTTCCTGGTTACAAGCCTTTCCATCATATCAAATTATATTCTCCAATGTTCCTAATATAGATACTATTTAATTAGAGTGTGTTTTCCCACATTTGCTAATTTTAGTCATGGAAAAGAAAATCCATTCTGAAGGAACCCTGGTGGCCCAATGGACTAAGCATTAGATTACTAACCGAATGATCTGTGGGAGCAGAAGAGGCATTCTGCTTCAGTAAAGATTTATAGCCGTGGAAACGCACTACAGTAGGAATCAACTCGATGGCAGCTTGTTTTTACTTCCCTTATTGAAAATTCTGCCTTCTCCCCAAGCTGTGCTCTCTCTCAGTCTCTTCTTCTTCTTGAAACTTCTGACTCCACAGCACTGGCACCTATTTTGCTACTACAGACCTGCACACCAAGGTTGTCACTATGGTGAAATGAATATTAGATCTTAAGTAGCAAAGCATATTGCAGAGAAGAGAAATGACTGGGACTTCCCAGAAATAGCAGGAAAGGCTCCTGGAGCCTCCTCATCCCTGTATTGCCTTCTTCAGCCCTCATGAGTTCTATGTTTTGAGCATGTTGTTTTCTCAGGGATTAGTACTGTGTCTAACAGTATGGTAGTCTCCTTACTAAGAGTTTTATTATCTCCCACAACATTCATTCAGCAATTGTTTTTCATTCAACAAGTGGTTATTGAGCATTTATTACACTTCAGTCACTGTTTACTGCTATAGTCCCTAGGATATTGACAGAAACAAACTCCTTACCTTATGGAGGTTTACATTCTAGCACTTTCTTAACCACCCTCGTCAGTTGTTCCTCTTGTTACACAAATTATGTTCCCCGTAATTTTTATTGGTATCGTTTAAATACAATAGTCCTGAATAGCAATTAATTTTTAATAGATGTTGCATTATTTAAGGACTAACAGACTTAGAATAATACAATAAAAAGAAAATAGCATTGTATATCATAAACTTGTATCCTTTTTTATTTGACAGTTTGTTCATAAAGCTTTAAAATTATCCTGTAGGCATTGTGGGCATAATGGAAGGGGAAAAAGGTCTTTTCAGGTATATGCTTTTGATGCAGTTTTTATTCAAAAAGACAATAATGTTGTACGTTTAGTTGTGACAATAACTACCAAGCTGCTGATGCCATAAAATGTTTTTCCCATGAAAAATGTCAGTACGTCTTCCAGAGTTGTTTTCATCTCTGCCTACAGGGGTAAAGTCCGAATGGAATTAGAGAGGGAAACTCTGCACTGGAACCTGCTGTGGCCATTTTTTTTCTTTGTTGCTGCTTCTCTAGTGGAGTTACTGCAGCTTAGGGATCTGTTTCTTGGAACTGGACACATTTTACAAAAATTTTTTAAATAAACGCCAGATCTTCAAGAAGCACTTTCTTCTTCTTCTTCTTCCATCATGCTTCATAATGTATTGTATTGTACTAACCCCTCGTACTTGGAGGAGAGAACTGCCTAGCAAGCAACCCACTGCCTACTAACATCAAGAGGGGCTAAATAAAACTTCATTTTCCTTGCAAGGACAACTTCTGCCGTATGGATATGTATTTATGTATTATGCTTTGTATAGTAGTTGACCTGGAATGCAGATTTTATTTATTTTGTATTTTTCTGTGGCATTATAAAATGTGTAGAATTTATGGCTTTATGATGAGTTTCTTGGTTGGCACATACAGTGAATTACAGTTACATTTTTTCCATATTATTTTAACTTATAAATATATGTATTGAAGATATGAGTACTATCTGGATTATTTCTTTCACCCGCCATATTCAATGAAAGCCATGGCAATGCTTCTCTAATGTGATGGTTTGCAAACGTTAGTATCTTATCAAAATCATTTGGAGACCTTATAAAGCACAGCTGACCAAATCTCAGAATTTCCAACTCAGGAGGCCTTGGGGATGGTCCTAAAAAGTTGCATTTCTAATAAATTTCTTGGTGTTACTATTGATTTGGGGCCATACTATGAAAACTACTGTTTTCATATTTTTAGTAAGATAATATGTGAAGGGTTTTAAAAATCTCACATCAAATTTCTATCTCATTTCATTTCTTAGGTATATTATTTCATAAAGTTCCCTGGTTTTCTAAATTTATATTGTTTCAGTGAGAAAGTTTTGTTTAGATTTTGTTTGTTTATTTATTGTACTTTTTATGAAGAATACTACTTAAAGTTTAAATTTAAAATTTAAACCATTGCTGTATCCTTATTTTTTTTTCTTTCCTTTTTTCCCTCCCTCCCCCTTTGAAGCTGTGTTGAAATCCTTATCTCCTGTAGACCCAGTGGAACCCATAACTAATTCAGAGTCATCTATGAATTCAGATGTGGGGGAAGTTGATAAAAATGACCCTGAAGACAAAAATAATAAACACTCTACAACGGACAGTGAAATAAGTAGGACTGAGTATTCATATGAAAATCTTCTAGAGGATACAAATAAAGACAGTTCTGCAAATGAAGTCTTCCTTGAAGGAGTTCAAGAAAGAGTTTGCTACCAGTGTGAGAGAGAAGATGAATCACAGCAGGCAGATACAAGTGAGCCGTCGACTGTCCAGCCAACTCCGAGAGACTCAGTACAGCCCTCCATTAAGCAGAGGCTGGCACGCCTACAACTGTCACCAGATTTTACCTTCACTTCCGGCCTCGCTGCAGAAGTGGCTGCTAGATCCTTCTCCTTTACCACCATGCAGGAACAGACTTTTGGTGACGAAGAGGAAGATGAAGAGCAAATAACACAAGAAAATAATGGTGAGGCAGAAGAACTATAAAAGCCATGGCTCCCATGAAGGATTTTACATTGTTCTATTATGAAAGTGTTTTAGTTTCAACACTAGATATTTAACTGGAAAGGGAAAATGAGTGTAAGTTTACATGTATACCCAAAATACGAATTTACAGGAAGAATCCTGTTTGAACAGTTTCTCTGGAAATAGTAGTTACCTGTAAATGGCAGATCTTTTAGGAAAATAAAGGTAAGGGCTGTCTTGGGGAAACATCTGTTTTATCTGGGGCTTGATTGATTTTGGAATTCTCTAAGTACTTTTAATAAGAAATGAATTTATCATTTCTTGTCTAAATCTAGCATAAGGTGATTGGAATAAGAACATTAACACTTAGTATGATTCATTTTTACTGTATTCTTGCAGTTGATAACTGCAGCTCTATGTTAATAATAAGTTGTTTGTATTTTCCTTGTTTATACCAGTCATAAAACAAAGATACAGGTTCTGAATAAAAAAAAATTAATTCATACAATTCATGTGTTCTGGGATTTGAAACTAAATAGCTGTTTGAAAAGTACATGATATGCTGCTTATATTTTCCTTGTATATGTGTATATTTGGTGGTTAATTTTAAGATGTTCTAACAATTTTTAAAAGAAAACCTTTGTACCAATTGAAAAATAACCATTTTCCTTTGGGAGTTTTATCACTTTTGTTCTTGTTGCCATTTAAAGAGATGATGTCAAAGCGGGATCCCCAAGGTTGAAAACTCCATCCTCAACTTAATGGAAAGTTAATTTTATTTATTTATCCAAGACAGCTGAGTGTCATTAACACAGGACACTCACAATGCTCGTAAGCTTTATCGTCTCCACCTCAGTGATTTCAGGAGTCTCCTCTCTACCTAGCGCTTCATCTACCGACTAGTTCTTAAGAGACACTACTTTCCAGTGTCCAGTCCTATTTATTTTGTCTTAAAATTGCATTTTCAAAGAGTGGTGTTTTCAGGAGTACACTGGTTTTGGAAAAGGTAGCTTCTATGCACAAAGTTTATACCTATTATTTAGGGGGAAATGTTAGGATTAACATAATTTATGCTCCTATTTTAAAAAGGAAATTACACAGAGTCTCTAGATTATCTTTAGACTTCTTAAAAACATATTTGAATCCCTATCATTTTAGCAAGTCAACATAACATTTCTTCTTTCTAGCAGTACTGGAGGATTTTTTTGTTGCTTTCAATATTCTAATGATTTCCCCCCCCCTAAAGAAACACTTGATTTTGCTTTATGGGAATAGTACAAAGCCTTTGCACTATAAGGAACTTTGCAAGTTACCAAAATTCTAGGGCAACCATAAATAACATCTTAGGACCAATAGCTAAGCTTAGCTTGCCATTTAACTAAATTTCAAGAAATAAAAAATTGTTCTATTGGAATGAACAGGTATTAAACACCAATACTTAGGATTCACTTCCTTATTTATTTAGTATATTGGCTCATTTTCTCCCTTAAATTGAGATAGTACAATTACGGGGAACTTTGCCATCTTTAACTATGGTGTTAAACAAGGCAAATTAGAATTAACTCATTTTCAGTTAATTAGAAATTTCAAATCTAACCGTCTGCACTGTTTTAGTAACTATTGCTTACATAGTTCCTTGAAAACTCTATTAGTTGAAATTTTTACATAATGATCTTGGGACTTTAAATGAGTATCTTTCTGTTCTTTCATCTTTTTAAGGGATTCTACAACAATGTCTCGTTCCTCTGAACATCATATTCCTTGACTTATTCTAGTTTTCTCTTAAAATACTCTTAAATCAATTGTTTCTTGTTTGTTGCAATGAGCCACCTACATTACAATAATCTGAGGAGCTTGTTTTTAATTGTAGAGAGGAGGTAATGTTTGAGTGATTATTCGTGGATGCTTCTTGAATGGAACTAAATGATACTTATGCACTGGAAAATCCAAATACCTCTGTCTAGGACTTTTCTTCTTGATATGACTACTGTCATCGGAGACAAAAGCAAATAGTCCACTGGTTAGAAGTAGGCATTCTTGTTTAGGTTTGTTTGTTTGTTTGTTTGGGTTTTTTTGTGGTGCTTTTTTTGGGTTTTTTTTTGGGGGGGGTGAGAATTTTACATGTTATCAGACCTTCAACTGGTGTTAATGGCTATTTCCTGTGTCCAGCAGAAACCCTTTGGGATAAAAACATCTTATGAGGAAAACTTACAATTCTGGCTTCCAAATTTTACAGATTTATTTTCACAGGATTATTCTCTTGTTAGAAGTCATCATCTTATAGTTCTCATCATAAACATGCTCAGACTAAAACAAAGTTAGGATACAACCTAAAAAATATACTTGAGACGCTAGGTCAATTTTGGAGACAGTATTTTTACTCTTTGCCCCTAATTAGTCATGGCAATAAATGATCTGGTGAACATCATCATGCCTTAAGTCTTCTTTTTAAAAAAAAGTTCATTAAAGTTCACTTATCTGGAAAATCTAGGTTGAGATTCTTGTATTGTCTCACTTTATAAATTAAGTCCTCATTAAAATAATTGTACATCCAGTATGTAAATACATTTAATTGGTAGCTTATCAATTGACTTAAGTTTGATTCTTAAGTTATTGGACACAAACAAGTCTCTTATGTCTCTTTTTAAGGCAAATTAAGGAAATTTAAGAATATGTTTTTAAACCTTCATTACAAAACTAAGCCTGGACCTATCAGAAGAAAAGAAACAAAAAAGAACAGAGTAGAAATAAATTTAAAAACAGAAAAATAATACCAGAAGTTGGTTCTTTGAAATAAACAAATGACAAAAAAACCAAACAAACAAACAAACAAACAAAAAACCCCACAGATAGCCAAAATGGAAAATGAGAGAAAAAATTATAACTGATCCAATAGAGAGAAAGATAATTATGCCAGAATAATATTAACAGCTGTACAGGAAAAAACTGCCAGGGATGTGTCCTGTCTCCATACCTTTTCAACCTGTATGCAGAACAGATCATCCAGAGGCTGGGCTCTATGAGGAGGAATGTGGGGTCAAGACTGGTGGAAGATCTAGCAACAATCTGCGATATGCAGATGACACAACCCTGCTTGCTGAAACTGAAGAGGACCTGACGTGCTTGCTGCAGAGGGTCAAGGACTGCAGCCTCCAATATGGATTGAGGCTCAATATCAAGAAGACAAAGATTCTCACCACTGGACCAATTGCTGAGATTGTTCACAGCTTCAGTTTGCTTGGCTCCACAGTCAACACTTTTGGCACCAGTAGCCAGGAAATTAAAAGGTGTATTGCGATGGGAAAGTCTGTTGTTAGGGACCTCTTCAAAGTACTGAAGAGCAATGGTGTCCTTCTGGAGACTAAGGTGCATCTGATACAGGCCATGGTCTTTGCAATCACTTGTTACGCATCAGAGAGCTGGACAGTGACTAAGGAGGATAGAAGGAGAATTGATGTCTTTGAGGTGTGGTGCTGGAGAAGAGTATTGAGGGTACCATGGACTGCTAGGAAAACAAACAGATTCATCCTGGAAAGGGTCAAACTTTGTGGCTCCTTGGAGGCAAGGATTCTGAGGCTCCGTCTAACATACTTTGGACATGTTGTAAGGAGGGACATCATGCTTGGTAGGGTGAAGGGACAGCGCAGGAGGGGAAGGCCCTCTATGAGGTAGATTGATTCAGTGACTGGGGCAATTCGGATGGGTGTATCGGAGATGGTATGATTGGCACAGGACAGAGCGGAGTTTAGGGCTGTTGTACATAGGGTCGCTATGAGTCGTAAGCGACTTAACGGCACATAACAACAACAACCACCACCTAGATGAAGCTGGTAAATTTCTAAACTTACCCAAACTGGCTCAAGAGGGAATAGAAGGTTTCAATAGACCTCTAACAAGTAAAGGTGTCAAATAAACAATCAAAAATTCCAACAATGAAAGTCCTGGACCAGCCAACTTCACTGGAGAATTCTGCCATTTAGGGCACTAACAACATTATTGTTTGAACTACTCTTTAAGCACTACTGTGTATCAAAAAGATCGAGAAGAAAGGGATACTCCCTATGTAATTTTATGTAGCACACATAACCCTTATGTCAATACCAACCAAAGAAACCACAGATACAACTACAGACTACCATCTCTTATGAATACACATAAAAAATCTTCAACAAAATATCAGGCAAACAGAATCCTACAACATATTAAAAGAGTCATACACCATGATCAAGTGAGATTTATTCCAGGAGTGCAGGAATGGTTCAGCATTAGACAATCAACATAATTCACTACATCAATAGGACAAAAGGAAACCATGTGATCATCTCTGTGGATGCTGAAAAGGCTTTTGATAAACTCCTAAACACTAAAACAGACTAGAAGTACCTCCATATGAGATCAGGGCATATGTGTAAGGCTGATAGCCAACATTATGCTTAAGAAAGTTTGAGAACTCTCCCTTTGAAATATGCACTAAGAAAAGGGTGCCCACTCTCACTACTTCAGTACTGTATGAGAAATCTTAACCAGAGTGAAACAGCAAGGAAAAGAAAAGGTATTCAGATTGGGGGTGAGTGGGAACAACCAAACTCTCTACGCTGAAGTTAATTTAGACTCATATCTTCCATTGGATCTGACACTGGATCTGTACATGAGAGGGTTGGTGGATTTGAAACACCAGCCATTTGATCATTGGCCCATTACATAACATTATGCCACTAGGGAAAAGATGAAGTAAAATCATCTCTCTTACTAAGTGATGATGTTGTTGTTATGTGCCATCAAGTCGCCTGCGACTCATAGCAATCCTATATACAACAGCCCTTAATCCTGCTTATCCCTTGCCAATCCTGTTGTCTCGGACATGCCTATTCCCATTACCTCAGTGACTGAATCAATCCATCTCATCGAGGGTCTTCCTCTCCTCTGCTGTCCCTCCACCCTCCCAAGCATGATGTCCCTCTCCAAGAACTGATCCCTCTTTGCACCATGTCCAAAATATATTCCAAAGATGGAACTTCAGAATCCTTGCCTCCAAAGAGCAGCCTGGCCTCACCCTCTCTAGGACAAACCTGTTTGTTCTCCTAACAGTCCATAGTATATTCAGTATTCTTCTCCAGCACCTAAGCTCAAAGGCATCAACTCTCCTTCTCTCATCCCTAATCATTGTCCAGCTCTCTGACACATAGCAAGTGACTGCAAAGACCATGGCCTGGATCAGGTGCACCTGATTCTATATATAGAGTATCTCAGAGCTCACAAGAACATGTCAAGAGGCATTTGAAGAATGTAGCAGAGTTGAAGTGTAAAGTCAAACAAAAATCAGTTTGGTTTCTATATGCCACTGATGAGAAATGTGAACGGGAAATTAGGGAAACAACTTCATTAAAACAGCATCTAAGGGAGTTCTGGTGGCCTAGTGGCAAGAAGTTGCACTGCAATTCCAGAGGTACGTCGTTTGAATCCACCAGATGCTCTGCTGGAGAAGGAGGGCCAATCTCCTCCTGTACC